TTTTAACGGATTAGGGTTTTCCGTCAATTCGAGATTTTAGTGGCCAAATTTTCATCGATTTAGTCAACTCTTTATAGTAGTCCATATATGATTATATAATTAATCCATGATAATTCTATGATTTCTTTTGTGTGATGTAAATTTAATGATCAACATAAGTTCATACAGGGAAAGAGCATCTCAATATTCACAAATTGATGAAAAAAATGAAAGTTAATATTGTAGTACCATCATTTCTTATTGGATTCCAAAAAAACAACATTTATAATGAATTTTAATAATTTTTTCGGATTTTTTTGAAGCTTTAATCTGACCGATTCAGCCGATTCCCGATCCGGATCGCCGATTCGCCGATCCGGATCGGTTTTTTAGGTGCCCGATCCGGGTCACCGATCCGCTTTTTAAACCATTGGTTTAAACATACATAATTGAAAATCCAAGCACTAAAAAATCAATCCATTCAAACACACATGTGGTGTTGAAGGAAAATCATAGAAAAAAACCATAAACCCATTGGAGGAATAGAAGATGAAAGACGTGGAACATGAACCCCTGTCAATGGCTTCGACTCTGGCTACACCATTCACAGTTGTGGGTATAAGCTTGTTTACACTACTCTCAACAGTGGCACCATATAAAGCATCGACCAGTCCATGGCTATGAGTTATCCAGCAAATGCTTTACTACAGTGGTTTCGGGAAATCGAGTGAGGGCAGATCTCTTAGAACACAACCACAGGTTGTTCTCTATCAAATATTAAGTGTACCGGAGGGAAGTTGCAACTGGTGCATTTAAGTTCTATAAAAGCAAAAAGCCATCATCAGCCTTATTAATCGCGTTTTGAAAAACAATATCCTTTGCTCAATGAATATTAGTTGTATGGGACCGAAAGTAATATTGGAATCTATTGCCAGTACCAATTGAATTACTGGAAGAAATAATTTATGAACAAAGCATACATACCAAACAAGAAGAAATGGACAAGAATAAGTAAATATATAGCAAAATACATGAAGCAACAACAGTCACAGTTACTTGGGCATCAATCAGCCATTAGAGAACGCAACAGTATAGTAAGGAAACCGGCACAAATGATTTCTCAGGTTTAATATATGGCATGTGCACATGAATCAGAAAACTTCAACTAAAGGCAAGGAAAAAACCTCGTGGCTACAAGTAAATCATTGAAATGAAAAATCATTCATGCATAGCATGCAATTTCCATAGAAGATTAGTCCAAAACCACCAATGGTGACTATCAAAGAAACATGATCATGGATTAGAAAAGCTTACGTGAAGCTGCTGAATCAACATTCAAAAATGAAAAATTTGCCACTCATGAACAATAAAGGAGACCCCTTGGCCTCCAAGGAAGAGTAAATGCACATGGCACACTAAATACCCAAACAGAAAACCAGAAGAAGGTCAAATAACCCAGAAATTACACAAGGTTCAAAATTGTCAAAACTTCAATTGACAGTAAAACCTAACTGACCCTGACAAGTTAATTCCCTAAACAACTCTTTCCAATTATCCAAGAAAACAATAACAATATAATAAGTTCAAAGTGATGTTTTGCCCTGATATATATATACATATATAAGGGTTTCATATTTGAACAAAAAATTATTTATAATTACAATAACGATAACCCTCAAAGAGTTGGGGGGAAAGCAATATACAACTAGCATAAAAAAGGCAAGCCATCAATTATTGGATAGAAAAACAATGAATCCATGAAATAATCGCAAATGCATTATGATAAACAGGAACCTTCAAACCCTAATACAAAAATTTAATGTTTAGAAAACATCAGGAAAACAGATGAATCAGAGACTCACCTGGTGTAACCACTGTGGAAATCAATAAAATCAACTGAGAATCTCCAGTTAAAGAAAAACTCCGATAACAGTGAAACGCCAGATATAATTTAGAAGAAAGAGTAAATCTTTCCACGGATAATTTCTTTTATAACTAGAAGTCCAACACAAATTCGAACGAGATTTCAAAGTTCCGGACAAAATTCCAAATATTCCAGCGAATGTTACGAATTCCGGCAAAGATTCCGAAAGAAAGAAGAGAAGCGCATAGATATCACGGCACAGAGAAAGAGAGAGAGAGGGTCGCGTTGAACTGTGAAAGCCGCCGAATCGAGACGGTGCCAAGAGAGGGGTGGCTCAGCGCGAGCGCAGAACGGAAGAAGAAATCCTAGGGCAAAATTTTTTTCGAGGGTGAAGTTTTAACCAAACTTCTAATTTCAAGTTCCGACCTTTTGCCTGGAACTTTTTTAACGCACAAAAACATGGAACATGAACAGTATAGGGGAGTTAAATACTTCTAATTTCAAGTTCCGACCAAACGGTCGGAACTTTTTTAACGCACAAAAAGATAGGAACATGAACAGTATAGTGGAGTTCTCTTTTTAACTTCCGTTTTTCACCGAACACAACGAATAATATTAGGTAAGTTCTCATTAAGCCACTTTGGGTTATCAAACACGCCCATATAAAAAGTCAATTTATTATAGGGTTTTAAATTGCATATATATGTTTATAAATTGTATAATGTAACGTCAATCGAGCAGGGGTACCAACAAGTCAGGTCGGGTCTCTCAACATGGATTGGACCCAAAAAAATTATTATGGGACTCGGACTTGTACCCACTCGAAAGACCCATCGATGTATTTAAATATATTTTTATAAATTAGAAAATGTGGGATCCGAATTCAAACCCGAATAGTGTTCAGGTCTAAAATTTGAACCCAAAACCGATCCTTCATGTCCAATTTTGTAACCCACACGCAGACCCGAGTCAGGTCCATGTTGGGTCCAGGTCCATTGTCACCCCTAATTAAGCATACAATTCCTTCAATGTAAGAAATGTGTTTTGTCGAGATGTGTCTTATTAAACCGGATCGCATAGAAGCGATCCAAATGCGGCCAAAGTATGCCTACACTTTTCGTGCCATCTTTCAGCGTGTCCTTCCCACGTGTTTAAAACTAGGTTCAATGTAAAAACAACAATGGTATATTTGAAACTATTCTAATGTCTTTTCCCTAAAAGGGCATTTTGCTCCATGTCAGGGGTTATAAAAGGCCATTTTTCTTTGCATCATATTATCAAGATCAGATCGGTCACCAAATTGAAGAGGTGCCTGTCCTATCATAATTAGGTTGACGATTGGTCAGACCAATTAGATTAGACTTTAAAAAAATATAAATAATAATAATAATATTAAAATATAAAATATAAATATAAAAATTCAATTTTATTTAACTAGTCAAACCGTTTAAAATTAGATAATCCAAATTATTAAAACTAATAAACTATTAATTTTATCTAATTTTCAAAGAAATTAAGTTTTTACAATAAACTGGATCATCTAAAGCACAATTGTCCAACTGATTGAGTTAGATGGTGATAATCATAACTTAGTTATGTATGCATTTTGAAAACATATTATCTTTAGTACAAGTAGGTTACAATTATTCTAGTCAGTTAAATTTTAAATTGTGTGGTTAGAAGTGTATCATTAATTAGACTCGAAGTTAAAACAAAAAAATTATCAAATTTTGTGATGCATCCCAAACCATCAAAATTAACATTTTATAATTAGAAGTGATTGTGAATATGTAATCTCTTTGTAACATTAGCAAATAGTCTCACATTATATAATTCCATGTATTTATTTTTTTAAAGATAATATTTATATAAAGTTGCAACCTTATTTATACTAATAAGATTACAATAGTTTATTTTATTTAATTGGACGCTATATTAAAAGATAACGCATTGATAGTACTTTAAAGATGTATCAAATTTACACTGTTTAAATAAAATAGACGGTCTCCAATATACAATTTTATTTTTTATAAATAAAATTGTAATTTTATACAAATTGCACCTATATCTCAAACAAAAATATCCATTATACCCTACGCTCAGGACCTAGGTATCATAGACTTTTATGCCTGGAGATTCGAGGTAGAGGCCCATTGTGCCAAATTCTCTCTCCAAAAGTGAAGGGTATCATGGATATTTATGCTTCGAGAGTTCGAGGTACAGGCCCATTGGGCCAATTTCTCTCTCCAAAATTGAAGTGCCATTTCCCGTTTCATGAATTTTCTCTCTAAATTTTATATGCAATTGGCCAATTTCCTGAGTTTTTTCTCTCTAAATTTTATACGCAATTGGCCAATTTTTCTCTCCAAAATTTGTGTGCAATTTGCCGTTTCATGATTTTCTCTCTTTAAGTTTTATACGCCATTTCTCTCTGATGAGTATAAGTACTAAATTGTACTTCCGCTTTCCCTCTCGCTGACTGTCTGAAATTGTACCCTCAAATTTGTTTTTCGCAGTGCAAGTAGCTGGCTGTTTATCCCTCTCTCTCTCTCTCCTATTTTTTCTTCTCTCTCTCTCCATTTTTTCTCTCTCTCTCCCTATCTTCATCTTCTCTCTCTAACCTTTTTTCTCTCGTTTTGGCGGTTTATCCTTTCATATATGTATATTTAAGCGCAACGCATTGTTTCCATTGCATTTTCTCTCTCTAAAGCCCCATCGCCTGCAACTCGCAGCCTCTCTCTCTCTTGACCTTTTTACAGCCATGGGAGACTGGCAAGAACTGGGGCAAACCGTGTTCATAAGCCTGATCTTCGCATTCCTCTTAGCTAAACTCATCTCCATTGTCATATCCTTCAGGGAAGAGAACCTTAGGGTTTCCAGAGAAGTTGCAGAACCAGATTTACCCGAACCCTTGAGCACAGGCAGTTTTGAAGTAGAAGAGCCTTTAAAGAATTCGTCTTCAGATTCAATAGAAGCTGAGAATTCTAGGGTTTTGCAAGAATCCGGGGTTTCTGAAGTTCCTAGGGCCTTATCAGAAGTTGCAGAGCATTCGAAGTTGCATGGAGAGAGCTTCTTAGATGACGATGATGATGATTGGGAAGGGGTTGAGAGTACAGAGCTCGATGAATCTTTCAGTGCTGCTACTTCTTTTGTAGCAACCATGGCTACTGATCGTTCTTCACAGAAGGTATCAAATGAAACACAGTTGGAGCTTTATGGGCTCTATAAGATCGCTACTGAAGGGCCATGCAATATACCTCAGCCCTCAGCGCTTAAGATTTCTGCTCGTGCTAAATGGTATTTATCTCTGGTTTATCTCAACTATTCATCCGGGATTTTTTTTGGTTCTCTGAGAAATGGGGAATCCATGGCTAAATGTTTTGTTAATCTCTGGTTTTACTCATCCAATTCCTAGGAGTTTTTAGTTATGTTTTGATGCTGGTTTTGGTCTCGGAATAAGGAGAAATCCATGCCTTCTTTTTCTATTTGTGGTAGTAGAAATCCGTCCCGTCTTTTTAATCTTAACAGTATACTGTCCCTAGACTAATCCGCATCTGCAGTGGTTTCTTTGCACTAAAATTATGCCACGATTATCTTTGTGAGACATTTACTTGATATGAATGGAATAGTTTGAAAAGTGCTTGCAGATTAGAAGTCAGGTGTTTGTTATGGACTGTTAAGCCTATATCAAAATCTCTTGTTGAAAGATATCTATAACTTCCATCAATTCGAGAATACTATTGTCTTTTTCTGTACTTTGAGCCTGACACTTGATATTTTTAGGCTCTTCGGGTAAGATATTCCAATTTTTTTTTTCTTCAAAATTGTAGGAAGTTTTTTTTTCTTTCTCAAAAAGAAAAAAGTTATTGTAAGCTTTTCAGGTTATACAATGTGGTGATGATGATGGTGTTGTACTGCACTTCATATTCCCATTGAAATGTTGGCGTGTGTGGTTTGATTTGAAGTAAAGCAACTTAGTTGAGGAAAATTTAACATGGCTGTGAATTATGTGTTACAGAAATTGAGTTATTGGTTATCTTTGTTGTTGGGGCTGAAGCATTGTTCAATTACCCGACTTGGGCTAGGGACTCTACCCCAAAGACGGCTCAAAATTGCAAAATAATTACAAATTTTTTGTTAAAAATAAAAAAATACAGAAAAAAGAAATTGTGAAAATGTTAAAGGCCTAAAAAAGAGTACATACAAGATGGAATATCGAAAAATTGATTTATAGTGTGAAACAACTGAGAAAAATCCAGAAAAATAGAAAAATAGAGCATATAATAAGAAAAATTAACAAATTACCTTTAAAAACATAAAAATTATATAGAAAAATATTCATGCATCATTTATTAGTGATTTTGTTATACCAATGAAACTGAAAGGGAAGTTATATAGGAAGTTTGTAGGATCAATCATGCTTTACGGGACCGAATGTTGGGCGGTTAAGAAAACATATCCATATAATAAGTGTAGCTGAGATGAGGATGTTGAGATAGATGACTGGCAAGACAATGAAGGATATAATTCGGAATGAATAAATTCAAGGGAACTTAAGAGTAGCTCCAATAGGCGATAAAATGAGGGAAAATAGACTTCGGTAGTTTAGTCATGTTCAATGTCAATGTAGAACAACACCGGTTAGGAGGGGTGATAAGGTTTTCAAGTGGAAGGCACCAAAAAGGCGAGCCCCGAAGGACATAATTGGAAGTAATGGAAAAGATATGGTGACTTATTGTCTGATTGAGGATATGGTCCTTGATAGAGCGGAACAGGACTTGTGTAGCCCACCCCAAATAGATGAGGCTCGCATGGTGATGATGACGATGATGAATTAGTGATTTAATAAAAACATATTTAGTACTTGAAGACCTTTTAGTAAAATTGAGTATGTCACTGAACTCACCTCAACATGGTTCTGAGGCCAAGTTAGTCGGCTGAGTTTTGGAACAATGGACAGAAGAACATTTTGTCCTTATGAGGAGCAAGGGTAATGAATGTTAAGACTTTTAGCATATTTGCTGTACCTCCATTACTGTAAATTTGTTTGTGTTGCTCATGTTTAAATTTTCTTCATGACCTGATTTTATTTGATATTGTTTTTTGTCATTTTAGCTTTGTGCCAAATATGTCTGTATGCTGATGTACTTGTTTATTTATATCACTGCATTTTTGTTACAATAAATATACACATTCTGAGTATGATATATTGATACACTGGCGGGGCATCCATGGCCATTCTCTATGGTTATGGTAGTCGAACTGTAGTTCTAGTGATGGGCATTACCTGGTGATATATATCTTAAAAAATGGGTGATGGATGCCTCACCTTTTATGAGATAATAAACATCATACAATTTATGCATTTGGTATGCAACATACTTTTCCTTATGATATTGCTTAACATGGACTTCTTTTGTTTATTAAGAAAAAGTGCATGTATGATTATTGGAGACATTTTGTGGAGGGCCATATTCTTTTGGTTTGATATACAAGCTTTTACGTACATTCCTTGCCTTGTGAAGTAGGAAGGGGGAGTTTTATATCCCACGAGTACTCCTTTAAGTCCTCTTTTTTCATTTGTTTCTGGTGCTCCATTGTTGCCTCAACACTTAGTTTTATTTCAAGATCAAGTGATAGAAAGTTGATTTTTGGTGACATGTGCAAGGAATGCATGGCAGAGATTGGGTACTATGCCTCCAGAAGAAGCGATGCAGAGGTATATCATGATTGTGAGTCAGCTCTATCCTACATGGGCCTCCGGTGGTACTTCTGTGAGTTCCAGTTTTTCAAGCTTTGCATTTCTTCTCACTTATTTTTGTATATTTTGTTTGCTTTTTAGGTATTTCTTTGTTCTTATCTATTTTATTTATATTTTGGCCTCTTAAGCTTTAATTCCAATATGAACCATTCTTAAGTTACATAATTTTTATGATTATTTCCATAGTGTTTATCGTCCAATCTGTTGTCTCTCAGAGGAACAAAGAAGGAGATGATGGCTCCAGTGCCACTGCTAAGGGGGGGACAATGGGACCTGTCTTTAGTACTTTTGCTCATGATGAAGACTCTGACAGTGAATTGTAAGGTTCTTCATGATTGTTGTCATATTAGATTGATATATATTTGAGTGCTTATATTGCCAAAATACATAACAAATGTGGTATTTTAAAGTAATGAACTTTTTACTAGAAAAACATGCTCGCACGTCATGAATAAATGTACTTACACATGCAAATGACTATTGATTTTTCACTATTTCAAATGCAGCAATTATTCAAAGCTCTTCTTGCAGATTTTGTCTATTTCTGCTGAAGATCTATGGAGCACAAGAAATTATTTATTGTTTATGTACTTGATACCTTATGTTTTTGTAGGACATAAATCTTCACCTTGATGTCCCTTAAGGTGATCCAAAGCTTAAATTGAAAATCATTTTGAAACCAACAACTTATAATCCTCTAGGTTTTCTGTAATTACGGACATTTTGGGCTCACTAAAGGAAGAGGCATCGTAAGTGACCACTCTAAAAAGGGCAGCAACCCCATTAAGAGCTTCAAGTGCAGAGGATTGGGTCATGTCACCTTCCATTGTTCAGTTAAGGCTTCAAACTTAGTGAATGATGCATTCATAGACAAGGATAATCACCTATAGGATGAAGGAACCACTGAAGGAGAAATCTTTGATCCTATGACAGGTGAAGTCAAACCGTGCTCTCTCTTTAGAAAGATGACTTGGAGAATTTGAGAAGAACTAGTTTCTTTTGAACGGAAGTCAAGTGCGAATAGAAGATAGGGAACCTTATCAATGATAACGAAGCACCATCAACATTGCCTCCCAAGACCTGATTGACAAATTATTTTCAAAGATCAAGAGGTAACTACACATATAAGGTTGTGTGGGATAATGCCACAACCTCTTTCATTACCACTTGATGTCTTTAAGCAGTCTGGATGAGCAATTCATACTCAGATCAGGTTTGTCCTATGTCCTTTTGATGATCGTTAGCCATATCATATTGGGACGGTTGTGGTTGTTGGATAACAAGGTCAACCATGGTGGTGAGGCTAACACCTACTCTCCTTAGCCCTAGAGGTTAAGTCTAAACCCTAGATTTGCTGTTATTAAACACTGAAAATCATCTCATCATCCTCTTATCTTGTTGGAAATTATCAGGTCAAGCAAAATTGATGGAATTCAACCCAAATTCAAACCTAGAATCCATCTCTCATCATTCTCCTATTTTACTGGAATTTTTATCTCATACCAAAAATGATGTAGGACCAATGGGGCATTGATGCCAACATGAGTGGAGAACTAAGAAAGAAGGTCAAGATTTGGGAAAATTGAGCTATTATGTAAAACTAGGTTAGGGTTTTGGTTTGTTTTGGGTTTCAGGGTTGACCATGATGGGGTTAAGTCTAATTTCTAGGATTTGATAAGAGCTCTTAACATATGCACGGGAGTATGGTTTGAAGCTTGAGGAAGGTAGGGGAGGAGTTAGGGTTTTGGGAAATTGTTTGGTGGTTTTTGGACAACGCCTAGGATATTTGTTAAGGTTTGTAATGGGGTTAAAGCTTGTTGAAATTTATTAGTTAAACAAGATACAAGAACGGAAGGATGGCATCTAGGGTTAGTTTTAGGATAGAAATTTCTAGGGATATAAGGTACATGAGTAGGGTTTGTTGGGGCATGTTTCTAGGGTTTTAATGAGCTTTTGAGATGATGAAGTTGGGGTTTCTCAGGGCTTTGGTTTGACAATATGATAAAGGAGAAGACAAGATAAAGGATGGATGGGGAAAAAAAGGTAAGAAAAGGAAATTAAACTTCTATAACGAATCAACACCTTATGCAAATTAGGAGACCTATAATTAACTTCGCAACATCATTAATCCAGAACTAGGAATTATGGAGTCAACAACCTTGGAAGAAGGCATCAACACCTCAATATGGAATTAACGCCATCAAGCAAAAGCAAACTTTATTCCCAACTCAATTTCATAGTAAATGGCCTATGATCTACATCTATTCATAGGTTAGAGCCTCTTCATTGCTTAACTTGGAAGTTAAGCAACCGCTAAATCCTTTCCAGATTTATCTCTTTGAAGATTATTTGACTAAAACTTTAAAATTTTCTAGAACACTTCTAACAAAATAGAAAGCTGACATGTAAATCTCATCGAGCAAGCCACAGCTCAGATTTTTTGTAAATCTCATTGTAAATCTTGTAACATGGGCGCTTCTTATAAGCCTATACTGGTAATGGAAGACTAATGTATTTTTACTGTTACCCACCTAGGGAGGGTGTGCTTTCAATCATACCTTTTGTAAACTTCTATAAAAATACGATGTTAACGGTTATCAAAAAAGAAGAAGAAAGCTAACTGTAACTACAAATCTAGAAAGGAGAATTTTACTTAAAAAAAAAAATCATGCTTTAATTAAATTAAAACGCAATTAATCCTAAAATTATTAACTAAATTTCTCAACAAGCTTTCAGCCATTATTTGGAGCTCGAAAATTCGGAATTATGAAGAACCAATAAATATGAGAGTATTTCTAAGGGATTTTTATTTGAGCTAGAGCTACAAATCACTTTAACAGACATCCTGGTCAAAAATTACGTCCTTCAAAGAAAGTTTATATGAAAAGTCATTGTAAACCGCAAGATGTACAATTATATTGAATAAAGTTAACCACTTCAAAAAAAGGGTTAATGTCGTTCATTAGATGATTGCATCGTTATGAAACCTTTGAGAAAAAGATAGTATCCTATATAGTCCTTTTTATTTTTTAAAATGTTTTTTTTTTTTTCAAAATTAGTTGTGGAAGTTGGCTTTCTATTTTGTTAGAAGTGCTCTAGAAGATGTTATTTTTTAGGGAAAAGTTTATATAGAGCCGACGCTCTAAACAATCAAATTCGAGCCTACCTCAAAAATTTCACTAGGAGAGGTTGTTTTGATGCCCAAACATCCTCAAATTGATCATCTCGACATCAAGATGCAGGGGCATGAGCAAAAAATGGATTTCACGTTTTTGAAATAGTGTATTTCTTAACGCATTTTTGGACCGTCAATTTTCAAGATTTTCAAGTTTTCATAGATCTCTCGATTTACACTATTTTTTAAGCTTTAAACTTTATAAATAAAGACGAAAATATATTCTAAGGCTATCAAAACGATTTTCAGTATTGAAACCACATTTCTCGACACTATTTGAAGGTAGACTCGAATTTGATTGTTTAGAGCCTAGGCTCTATATAAACCGCACCCTATTTTTTAATCTTTCTAATAAGGCTAGTTTCTAAAATTGTAAATGATCGAGCTCCTTAATCTTGAAAGAGATAGATGGAGAGATTTGGGGGTTTCTTAACTTCCAAGTTATGCAAGATAAGAGGCTCTAACAACTTAAGTAGCTATAGTAGGCCATTAGCCATTAAACTTCAAATTGAGTTGGAATGAAGTTTGCTCATGCTTGATGGTGTTGATTCCTTACCGAGTTTTGGTGCCTCCTTCCATGGCGTTGACTCCATGATTCCTAGCTTTGAGATAGTGTTGATGCCAACAAAATTTTTCTTCTCTAGATTTGCGTAAGGTCTTGATTCGTTATACAAGTCAGGGTCTTTTTCTTTTAATCTATCCTTTCTCTCATATGTTCTTCCTTTACCTGCCACCCCACCAACCCTAAGAAAACGTCTTTTGTACCTCTAACATCTTAAGAACTTTTTAAAACCCTAGGAAAACCAGGCCCCTACAAACCCTGCCCATATGCTTTACATCGCTAGTCTTTTCTATCCTAAAACCAACCCTAGATGCTCCTTTCATCCTTGTAGCTTGCTCACTGATGAACTCCAGCAAGTTTTAATCCTATTAGAAACCCTGAAGCGTATCTGAAATGTTGTCTGAAAACTATCGAGCCATTTATGGTAACCCTAATTCCTTTAACCTTCTCAAGCTTCAAATCATCCTCTTGTGTTAGTAATACAAGCCCTCATCAAATCCTAAAAGCTGAAGTCATTTCCATCATAGTGAAACCCCAAACCCACATCAAACCAGAACCCTAATCACTCTGTTCATAAGAACCTTAAATTCCCTAATCTTAACCCACATTTCTAAGCTCTCCATTCGTATTATGCTCTTGTAGGAGCCTTTACCCCGTTGGTCTTACATCAGATCTTCCACAAATTATGGCAGTGGTTATTTCTAAGGGCCTACTTGAATTTTGGGTGAATTAGTGGGACCACTTGAAATTCAAGACTTCCTACCATCACTAAAAAATAAAATCCTTAAGATGCTAAATAAATCAAATAATTATATGTGGTGTATGATAGCATTACTTTCGGATGCTGTATCAGTACATGCTTGGTTGTGTGAATATGTACATCCGCAGAACCGAGACACATGCTAAGTCACTCTGCATTCACTATATTTAAAAAAAAAGCTTGAAGATTGATCAGGTGGGGAGGCATATATATATATAAGTGAATTGAATAAATTAGTCATGAAGTTTTCAACTATTGATTGTCTAAGTGTTTCTAACTTTTTTGTTGTTGTCAAGGAGCCTTTTTTTTTTTTGTCTAAAAATATCCCAGAGGAGCCTTTTTTTTTTGTATCTAAAAATATCCCAGAGGTGGATACATATCATAATAAAGTTTATCACTAGAGGCTAAAGAACTAGAATAAAGCATAATCACTAAATTGATGACAAATTTTTGATGATTGTGGCACTGGGGTAGGCAAAGAGGTAGGGTCTATAGGCTGACAGTAACCAGAGCACCCTCTTAGTTGTATGTTCTCTTTGTCTTAGTCCACATATCCTTTCTGTGTGGTTACCAATTGCATGGCTGAAGTAAACAGCTTTTAGGGTCAAAATCAGAGCTTCTCAAACACTTGGATGTTTCAATAGGTGATGTATGTGTCTCTGAAGTTATCATGGGCTGTTTCAAGAGAGAAACGTAGAGTGGCTGGTGAATCAATCGATACTTGAACTAGAGCTATTTGTGCTTAAGGGCATTGATTGGACTCATCGGATGCAGTGTAGTATGGTGGATACCATAGCTAATCAATCAGGTGGACTATTGTCATTTTGAATATCCCCAGATGTTTATAAGAGGGCAGCTGATGAAAGGATCGATGGAAGCATATGCAGTAAATTCAGAAGATTACAATGTTAGGCTCTTGTACTGTAACATCTCAATATGTTTTATCCAACCGTTGTAACTCACACCTTTCTTCACTAACGTATGGGTAGGGCACCGCCAAAGCCAAATCCTAATTTATGGACTCCATAAATGGAAAATTTATTAATATGCTATCAGGGGATTACTTTCTAGTCTTGGCGAAGAGACTGAGTAGGCATGGTCATCCTCCTATTCTTAGGTTATGATCTCATTGGTCATCTAATAAGTTTCAGACTGATTATCTACAGAACAAATTGCATTTCACTTATGACCTTTTTAGCCATGTTCAGTTTGTAGTGTTCCCAATGGCTCTCGCTGCCTCAATCTTTCATTTGAAAGAAATTTGAGTTAATAACTGGTTCTTTTCTACATCATTTAGCAAAATGTAATGTGATTGTTCCATCTTTAGTTTGCTGCTTACTTGAGTAATGTTTCCTGCTTTGGTATTTTTAGATTGTCCTGTTTTGTTTGTACATTAGGCTATGTACACATGTTGTTTCAGAAAATTGGTCTGTTTACATGTTGATCCCTTTACAGGGGGTACTGGGAATTTCTATACAATTATCTTTATGAAACTATGTGACCCGTTTGATCTGAGTGTATGGGGCAACTCATACTGTTTTTCTTTTTAGTGTAATCATCAATGCTATGTGTACACACACTCAAATGATGGTGAGTTTTATTACCAATATGAATATTTCTGCTTATGTATTGCAGGAAGATGGAAGGAATCCATGTATGTGCTAGAGAAGGGGAGATGAATAACTTGCTTAAATACCTGGAGCAAGGGGATTTAGTGAATTCAAGGGGTATTATTTTTAGTGATCTCTTCTACTAATGCTCTTTCCCTGGAGTCTTTTTTATTTTATTTTATAGTGCTTGATATTAAGAGACAATGCAGTGAAGAAAAAAGGGATGATTGTTGTTTTGAGTTATAGCATATCTAAACTTGGTTTATTTTCTAGTCATGTGAACTTGTTCAAATTGTTTGCAATTTAAGATGTAGTCTTTACTTGAAACAAATGCATCCTGATCCATAAGTATTCTCTGCATCTAATTCATGAGGTTTCATTGGGATACATCTGAGTTGTTACTGGAATTTGGAGTGTTGATACTTATGCACAGTAAAGAAAATGTATGAGCAGAGCTAGAAAGCCCACTAATTATCACTTGATTTTTGCATTCACAGTATAAGTTCATCCTTGTTGACTAAGGAAAAGTATTGGGACAAGTTACAGAGGAAGATTTTTACGAAAATTTACAGAGAGGTTTTTACTGTGTTTTCTATGACAAACATTTCTACCCAAAGAACGTTGTTCACTTGAATTTAATTCCGAAAGGCCTCAATTGAATATATATTGGAGGTAACTGAGTTGAGAGAGAGTGGACAGAGAGATAAGAATGTCATCTGAATTTGTTTTGCTCTGTAAAATGCCAAGATTTGGGGAGCAAATCTAGAGATCTTGAGTTATGAAGTGAAACACTTTGTACCTTAAGGTCTATTCTTTTCTATACCTCCCCAATTACTGGCAAGTGATTGGGACTTAGAAGAAACCCTTAGAATACTCTTAAAGTATGTGTTCACATCCATGATTTAGTCAAGCCACAGTTGCAGCATCTTATTTGAACCATAGCGTATAGAGACCTTGTTCGGCTTTGTATTGAGCTTATAAAGGCTCGACTTTATTTGCTTATGGGGTTCTATGCTATGAGACCATTGTTTTTTGTTACAAGTAGGTCACAATCACTTTTAGCCATTGGATGTGAAATCCAATAGATGAAGGTGTGTCACAACATTCGAGGAATTTTATTTTTGACTTTGTGCCAAACCTAGTGGTCAATGATGATTGTGATATCCTTGTATCGAAAGTAAATGGTCTCATATGCATTTCCTTTTCTTATTTTATTCCTGAGAAACTTAATACTAATATAAGACATTTCCCAGAAACCAAAAAAATTCTCACAGATTTAGGTCGACTTGTCACACGCAATATCGGAAGGGAGCACCTTTGAGCATGATTGATGCAGGGAACTGGAGATATGAATTAGCATATTTGAACTTGGTAAAATTCCTTCAAAGCCCAAGATTTGTGAGATATTTATGGAAGGTACCCATGCAAAATTTGTGCCATTTAGGCCCCAAACCTAGCATGAATCCTTGTATTTCCTATGGCTATTTCACCCTTGATCACTGTTTCTTACTAGGTGAGAAATAGCTAACTAACCATAATGCCCAATGTCTCTTCAATTTATGCCAATTATTGGATGGTTCATATCGAGGGACCTCTTGGGTTTTTTCAGCCTCATGGGACAAACTAGTTTGTTTTCTGGTTAATATAGCCATACCTTAATTACATCTGAAATGGACTTTTGAGTTTCATGCAGCTATCATGACAGGGGGATATCCAGTCATAACGGTCACCCTTATTGGGTTAAAACCATTATTCAAGAGTCGAGACTATATACTAAGTGGAACATTTGAGTTGAAGAAGTCTTTGGAAGGTTTGGTGCTCCGGTTCTCTGGATATATAGATGCATTACTATCTGGATATTTTTCTTCCAACATATGAAGTTTGAGGTAGTCTTCATAGAAAACTTGGTGTTTCTTGTAATATAATACATGGTACCCATCTTCATGAAGCCGTAACATGAAAATGTTCTTGAATAATAATGCTTGAGGCCTGGGCCTAATGTTGCTCTTTTACTTGTATTCTTTTGTAATGACCACTTCTAATTGTGGTTAACTATCTGCTTATAGTGCTTAGTTATTTTGATAATTGCCTACCTGCTCATGCTAGGAAACATGCTTCTGATCTCATGTTTTTTTCTTCCCCTTCTTATTCCTGAGAACAATGGGAACAACGGGAAAAATGGTAGCTCTATCCATTTTAATTCCCTTTCTTGTATTTGGCGGTTTAGTTACAAATCTCATGGCATCTTCTGGTATAAAATAAAGGATTTTGACCACCCTTTGCTTGTCTTGGCGTTAGCCCATTTTTTACTCACGTTGCTTGAGGTTAACTCATTATCTGAAGATCAGAGTTGCATTGGGACAACCAGTCCGGTTCTTAAACAAATGTGCACGTGTACAATTACACGCATGCATGCACGCAAACACATGCACACGCACAATACAGAGAGAGAGAGAGAGAGAGAGGCAGGTGATTCTCTCCAAATCAACAAAAACTGAAATCGTATACCCCTGTCAATTACTGCAGATAGTGATGGGAGGTCTGCATTACATTGGGCAGTGGACCGAGGCCATCTCGATATTGTGGAGCTTCTTATAAAGAAGAATGCAGATGTTAATGCTAAGGTATGCATGCATCTTTCTCTCTGTCATGCTCTCTCTACTTGGTACCATTGGTTTAAGATCAAATCATGGATGTGCCTATTAGATTGTTCCTCTCAGTCTTCAAGAACTCGGACCGGTGAGTCAAACGGTCACCCACTAGTGTGAGTCGAATCAGTGCAGTCAGCGAGTGCACTCGGGTAACTCGGCCAAACTAAAGAAAACAAGAATGTAAGCAAAATTTTAAAAGTTTAAAATGGGAACAAGGTTTAGGTAATTCAAATCTTCCTCAAAAAATTATTTAACATTATTTGCACGCACACATAGGTCTAACTCTGGTCTAACTCCCAATTTAGGGAGTGACTCAAAAGTGTGTGGCTGCCGGTCCCTGTTCAATTCAGGGAGTTCTGAGTCGGACTGGTGTTTTTTGGATCTGAGTCAAACTGTTGTTTATGGTGGTTCCTATTATGATAACTATACTACAGGAACGGTTGTTCTCTTATCAGTAGTAATGCCATGTCATCATTTATCATCATCATCATCATCCGAGCCTTATCCGAACTATGGGTTCGGCTATATAAATTTTGTTATGCCATTCCGCTATATCAAGGGCCGTACGTACCCTCAGTCAGACTATTAGTCATCATATTTTTTCTCAATACTACTTTCCACGTCCAATAATGCATCGCTTGTCTTACAGCAATGTCATAATGCAATGTCACCATTTCCACAAAGAGAGAGAGAGAGAGAGAGAGAGAGAGAGAGAGAGAGACTAACTACTACAACAGACGTACTTGTTACTTAATAGTACACGCTAACTACTAGTTGGTTAGTAGTAGTTTAACGTTCCTTACCTACGTAACCGAAACCGTAAGTAA